GATAGCGACATATCTGGGCATGGCCATGCACTTTCCCAAGTCCTACTATTCAGTGGGCCCATTGACATTATACTTCTATACAGTAGAAGGGACAGATCCTGTATCTGTTATTCACATCTCTAAATATGCTTAGCGGCATACCCAACGCATAACTGTACGTCTACCAGTATTTCAGATAGCATTAGTTATGAATCAAAGCATACGGCCCCACATATCAGAGAATGTAATAACTTCAAGTTTGAGGATAGTTATAGCAAGGTCGATTTGAGAATACTGATAAACACATTACTGTAGATCCATGCAGTATTCTCAAGATGGGTCAATCCAGTCACATATTTTCGATATAATATGCACCTACGTACAGATTAAGATATCACAATACCTATAGTCTATGAGACGCAACTATCTCATCTCGTACGTACTAGTCTTGATACGTTATGACGTCCGTATTATCATAAAGTGCGACTAGGGATATTCTAGACATAGCCTTTGTCAAGAAGTAACAGTCTCATAATCAGAACATTGTAGTCCTCATCTATGTTCCTGAAGCACTATCATCTATGGACTGAAGCTATGTTATGTTACACGAGATATAAAACATACTTCAAGGCCTTTCATTCATGATAAAGTGTACAGTTACATAGGTATTTGATTGCCGTCAGGGCACCTAAATACAACAATCTCCCACTTGCCCTAAGGCCAATCAAGCGTTTTTCGAATGTCCATGGACCACGTATGACTCTTATGTTAAGGCTTTCCCAAAGCCTTTGTCAACGGATCCGCGATATTTTCGTCTGTACCTATCTTGCAAATCTCAACGTCCCCACATGCAACGATTTCTTGTATGATGTGATAACGTCTAACGATGTGTTTGGTCTTCTGGTGAGACCGAGTTTCTTTCGCTTGTGCAATTGCCCCATTGTTGTCGCAAAACAACGGTATAGGGTTCTTGATGCTAGAAACCACTCCAAGCTCAGTAATAAAATTCTTGAGCCACACACCTTCCTTGGCTGCCTCGGCTGCAGCCATGTACTCTGCTTCTGTAGTGGAATCAGCAGTAGTATCTTGCTTGTAACTCTTCCAGGTAACAGCTCCGCCATTCAAATAAAACACATACCTTGTCTGCGACTTGAAGTGGTCTCTATCAGTTTGGATGCTGGCATCAGTATATCCGACAATACTGAGCTCTTCTTTTCCGCCATATACCAGGAAGGTATCCTTAGTCCTACGGAAGTACTTAAGGATGTTCTTCACAGCCGTCCAATGGCTTTCGCCAGGGTTGGACTGGTATCTACTCGTGACACTCAGAGTAAAAGCGATATCAGGTCTCGTACATACCATCGCATACATGATTGATCCAATGGCCGACGCATAAGGAACATTTCTCATGCGTTCTACTTCCACTGGAGTGGAAGCACCCTGAGTCTTGGAAAGACTCGTGCCTTGGACCATAGGCAAACTTTCTCGTTTCGATTAAGACATGCTGAATCTAGCGAGAACCTTGTCTATGTATGTACTTTGACTGAGACCTAACAGCTTACGTGAAATACGAAATCATCATTCAAATATAGCATCGAATGTACATGAGCTAATGTATGTACTTTGACTGAGACCTTGTCTATGTATGCTTTGATTCATTACGCTAGTAATATGAAATCATCCTTCAAATATAGCATCGAATGTACATGAGCTAAACTAAAATTGAATAAAATATTCTTAGACAAGACATAAAAAATAATGTTGGTGGGACCTATTTGATCTACAACCCTCCTCTTAATTTTATACAGAGTATTAAAAATTGAATAAAGTTTATTTTTTACACTATATGGTTGGAAATGAATTGAAAATTTCAACTAAAGTACTATTGTTAAGCTATTTTAAATAACCTTTAACTTATCATTTTTTAAAATAAGGTTGGAGATGGTGTAAGGAGGGAGTTATTATTTTACTTGAAAAAAGTTACTCGGTAGTATAAATGAGTACAGTGAATGCAGTAATTATCCGCATATAGAGCGACGTCTATCTATGAAATACTATCTCCGTCCCATAGTATTTGTCCAAATTGACTTTTTCGAGTCAAACTGGACAAACTTTGAACTCCAATTACTCTCAATATTTATATTGCATATTAGCATAATGAAATACAATTTAAATCCAATAAAGTCATTTTTATGTTAAAATACATTATGATTTTTATTTAATTGAATTTAAAAGTTTTTTCAGTTTGACTCGAAAATGTCAAACTGGACAAATACACTGGGGCGGGGAGTAGATAGTAATACTAGTAGGAAGAGTATTTAAACTGTACGGAAAAGGAACAGTACGTTGGAGTAAAATTCAAAGAAAGGTATCTCTCCAGCTAGTGCTAGTTCCTTCACAGACACTCTTCTTCTGCTCTATATCATCCCATCTCTTAGCTCAGATTCCAAGTCAGAAATAGAAAGATCGAGCAGAAAGAGGAAGAAATGGCGGCGAAGGCACGCTCGATCGGAGTAGCCATGGATTATTCTGCAACAAGCAAATCAGCTCTGAAATGGGCGATCGATAACCTGATTGACGAAGGCGACCGGATCTCCATCATCCACGTCGTCTCTTCCAAATCCGACCCTACCCACAAGCAGCTCTTCGAAGACACTGGATCTCGTAAGATCCAAATCTCCAATCGTTTCCTATATTACTTAATCTGTTTTCCCCAATTTAG